TCTCAATCTACTCTAGTGTCACCTACTTGGCCTTCTGTAATTTGAAGCTAAACCATTATATTTTTTACCTGATTGACCCACTCTCACCAACTCAAAAGCATAGTTCAATGTAATCTCTTAATATCATTGCTCTCCTATGTCATTTTTCTCCTACTTACCCCATTAGTATAATACAAAAGCATATTATAATGATCCCATTAAAAATAGCTCTCTTGTTTCCACTTCCACACAACTCCTCAAAAGCATTCATTGTTGTTTCCATAGTTTAGCTACTGTAAGTAGTGCTGCTATGAACATAGGGGTGCAGGTACCCTTTGGAATTAATTGTTTCTGTGTGATTTGGATAAATACCTAGGAGTGGAACTCCATATATATATATATATGGCATTATGTCAAAAAGAAAGCGTTACCTTAATTTTTAAATATTTTATTGCTAAATATATGCTAATTATTGTCTAAACCTTCAACAACACTGAGGCTTTTGCCATATATATATATATATATATATATGGAATGAATCCATTAAGGTGTAAACATAACTTTTATATGCACTGGAAGCCAAAATAGTCATTTAGCATTGCTTATTATATATTCCCTTCATTGTGATGGTCAGAAAACTAAGGCGCAGTCTCTCCACGGCGTGTTTGTATTCAATTAGAAAACTTCTTGGACCTCCCTGGTGACGCAAGGTGTTAACATGCAACCTATGAAGCTACCTGCAGCCACTGCAGCACAAGTTTGATCCCCAGCCAGGGAGCTACCCACATGGAACAGCAGACTTCTCCTGACTTGTCCACTGCTCTCCTCAACAGTGCATTTCTGTCAATCTGCCTGTTATGTTCCCCACTCTCTCTCCTCTCACCCGCACACCTCTGGCCTGTACCCCAGTTCTTGTATGCATAAATAAATAAATCTTTAAAAAAGAAAACTTTGCATGTGCCATTCTAAAGCCAAGGATTCTTGAGTGCACAGATGAAGAGTTGGACAATTTTTAATTCTGAGATCCAGATGGGCACTGTCTTCTTTCACCATTTTGAGGGCAGGTCTCTTCACTCAGTGAAGTCAAGGTGCTATGTGAGCCACACAGCTAGAAAAGACACTTAGCTTCCTCCACTTTATTTCCATTCCCACCATTTTCATTGAAATTCTCTTCTCTATTAGAAGACACATTTGTTCCATTTCATTTATTTTCATTTTTATTTGAAAATTTTTTAAAAGGCAACTATGGGTGATGTACTGGTTCAGGTGCTCCTTGTAGTGGATAAAGAGGGGCTGGACTGATGTGCTTTCCTGAAACAGAGAAAATGAACCAAGGTCAAGATGGTAATCCCAGACTCTGAACACATCTCATATTGTGAGTCTCCCTTCCCTTTCCCTGAGCTTTCACCATGTCTCTTGGTTTCTGTCTGTGACCCTTGTGTATCCACCAGAAAGTACTCTGGGTGACGTTTGTAAATCTAAGTTAGGTTATATCATTTTTCTTCGAATACTTAATGTGTACACTATATCAATCAGGAAAATACGTCTAAAATATTTACCTTGTGATCACTGAGGCACATGTCATCAGGTTGTTCACCATTTTTCTGAAAATGCTTGTGCCATTTCCCCCACTCTCCCATCTACTGCCTTCTTGCGATTTTTTAAACCTATTATGCACAATTCTGCATCAGGGCGTTTTCACATGCTGTTCTCTGTGCAAGGACACTTTCTCACAGAGTACCTCAAGGATCACTCCCCTGCTCTCCACTTTGATTTCACCATTTCAAAGAATACTCTCCTGAATAATCTATAACACTCTAGCATTCATCATTTTGTGTCTCTATACCCTTCTGTATTCTTAGCTTTTATCTTTCTCCTATATATGATATACATTATTGTTGTGAATTTTGAATCTATATTCACTGAATAAAGTATGAGTTATCTGTAGCAAGCACTCTTTAATTATGTCACTGTTTATTAACCAAAATAAAGAGACACCCCACTGATTGGGAAAAAGTTTGTGCATACCCTACAACTGACAAGGGACTCATCACAAAGATAGACAAAGTACTCACATGACTCAACAAAAAAAAAAAGTAAACAATGTAGTCAAAAATGGGCAGAAAAACTTAAAAGACATTTCTCCAAAGATGAAATGCAAATGGCCAACAGGCATATGAAAATATGTTCAACATCCTTATAATCAAGGTAATGTAAATCAAAACCACATTGAGAGGGCCTCCCTGGTGGCGCAGCGGTTGGGCGCTGGGTTGCGAAGCTGCCCGCGGCCTCTGCGGCGCCGGTTCGATCCCCGGCTGCTCCCCGGCCACCGGAGGAGGGTCCCACATGGCGCGCAGACCTCTCCTGCCGCCCGCTGCTCCCCTCAGCAGTGTACTTCGGTCCTTCTGCCTGCTCTGCTCCCCGCTCTGGCTCTGGTGAATTCTCTCACCCTCCCGCTCTTCTGACTGTACCCAGTGCATGTATAAACAAAACAAACAAACAAATAAATAAATAAAACATGCCTCTATAAAAAAAAAAATAAAATAAAAAAAAAAATAAAAAAATAAAAAAACCACATTGAGATACCGCCTTATCCAGTAAGAATGACACATATTAAAAAAACTATCAAGAACAAATGTTGGCAAGGATGTGGTAAAAAAGGAACTCTCCTACATTGCTGTGGGAGTGCAAACTGATCAACTACTATGGAAAGCTGTCTAAAGATTCCTCAGTCTATTAAAAATGGAGCAACCGTATGACCTGGCAATTCCACTCCTAAGGATAAACCCAGAGGACACAACAATATTGATTCAAAAGAACACCTGTACCTCAATGCTTCTTGCAGCACTTTTAATTATAGGTAAAACCTGGAAACAATCCAAATGCCCAAAAATCAATGACTGGATCAAGAAGATGTGGTACATAAACACAATGGAATATTATTCAGCAATCAAAAAGATAAACTCATGTCATTCTCAGCAATGTGAATGGAGCTAGAAGGAATTATGCTCAGTGAAATAAGTCAGAAGGAAAAAGAAAAATATTGGATGGTTTCATTTATAGCAGGAATATAGGGGATAAAAATAAGACATCAGTATAAAAAATAATAATACAAAACACAACAAAACAAAACAAAAACAGACAATTATAAATGAGAGATATCCTGCAGGGGAGGAGGAGGGAGAGGTATCAGAGGGTGAAAGGGACATGAGCACAGGGACTGAGGTGATGGTGCACAAGTATATTGGTAAAGGAAATTGTATGGGTACTACACCTGAGGGGGCGGGGGAAGCAAATATTATTTAAAAATGAGAGCTGTGTGGGGATTTCCTGATCTACTAAACATAGAGCTTCCATATGATCCAGCAATTCCACTCCTAGGTATTTACCCAAAGGACACAGAAACATCAATTCCAAAGAGCACCTTGCACCCCTATGTTTATAGCAGCACTATTTACAATAGCTAAGCTTTGGAAACAGCCCAAATGCCCAAAAATAGATGACTGGATCAAGAAGATGTGGTACATATACACCATGGAATATTACTCAGCATTCAAAAAAGATAAACACATGCAATTTTCAGCAACATGGATGGAGCTGGAAGGGATCATGCTCAGCGAAATAAGCCAGAAAGAAAGAAAAAAATACCGGATGATCTCACTGATAGCAGGAATCTAGAAAACTTAAATAAGGACCAGGAAAAAGAATAACTATAAGAAAGAAAATATCAAAATCAACAAACAACTATGAACCAGAGACACTCTATCGCGGGTGGGGGGCGGGGAAAGGAGGGCTTGGGGTCAAAATAAGGGGGTTGTAATTGTATGGGGAATATAAAAACTAAAAGTAAATAAATAAATAAAATAAAAAGTAGTTCCCTCTCCCCCCACAAAAAAAATGGGAGAGATGTTTTCACTGCAAAACTAATGAGGGATTAAAAATTTTTAAAAAAATAACTATGATATAAAAAATAAAAAATGAATAAAAACATGTTACAATAAAAAAAAAACCAAAAAAAATATAAAATAAATGGTAAAATAAATAAATATATCACTACTATATCCCACACACCCAGAACAAAACCTGGAACATAGTGTGGAATAAATATTAATCAAATAAAGTATTCAATCCCAAAATAGGAGTCCATTGGATTAATGTAGTTATAAAGCTGTTCTTTTGAAATACTTGTGAAATTATTCAACTGATGTCAGAAACCAGGGTTGAAAGATGATGTGACTAGATAGTTTAAATATTCAGTTAAACACTACAAAATATAATTTCAAGTATGCTCATGCTAGGAAACCAATAACATGCATATAATATATAATATAAAGTTGTTACAAATGGGTAACATAATTGTTGGTTCTATACATGTACCCATTATCAAATACTTTGACCAAAGAAAATTGTTTGTATTAACATAGAATCTTGATAGAGTTTCTGAGCCATAAGTGTGCATCTTAGGGCAGAATCCAAGTGTTCTGTGAGCTATATTGTGAGAACTGTCATAAAACAAGAATCTGTAAACACATTACTATATAGGATAAAGGTCCTAATAGTTGGTGATGGTAGCTCAGTGTCATTAATGTGATACCTGCATTAAGAGGACCATAGTTCTGCTTTCTTTAATGTTGGTTCCTCTGTCTTTTGTGTGTTTATTTTTCCTTTAGAATCTGAGTCATTTGGTAATTGTGTGTGTGTGTGTTTGTGTGTGCTGTGTGTGTGGAGGCAGAAAGAGATTCTAAGAACCAAAGCATAAGGAAATTTAAATTTTAATAAATTACCCAGTATCTTTCACTGTTTATTACTTCCTGTCTTAGTTTGACTTACCTCCTGATTGATTGATTTACTGATCAATTGATTGTGAACATTCAGATGCTTATAAGTAGAGCAAAAAAAAAAAAAAAAAAAAAAAGCAAACTTTATCAACAAGAATACAATTTGATAACCCAAGCAATCAGCAATCATTGCTTATTGGCCCTCACCACTAGTATCACTTTCCCAGTTATTTTGTGCTTGACACTCACACTATTTTCAATTGCCAGGAAAGAGGTAGAAATATTTTGTCATGCTTAGTCTTTCAATGGTGGGCATCTGGAATTGATCGCATCATTTTTCAAATGATTGTTGTACCTAAAAACATAAAAGGACATTAGATGAGGCACACCTTTTATGTATTCTCAGAAAACATTTTGTACCATGAGCCAGAAATTTTTATAAATAAAGGGTCCTCCTAGAGTTAATGGGACCAAGACTTAGGACATTCTAACTCCCTGCCACTGTTATCCTTCTTCTTAGAAATGATACCTCATGTTGGAATATGGCCCAGATCTCAAAATATATACCTCATGACTAATCAATGGCCTTTTAATCTCCATTTCATCTACTTTTCACTTCTCATCTATACATCTTGGAGATCTGTTCCTAAAAATTGGATTTCAGAGATCAACTATCTTTATTTTAACTTTTTTTTAAAGATTAATTTATTTATACAGGAACTGGGGTATAGGCCAGAGGTGCAGGAGGGTGAGAGGATTCACTAGAGACAGAGCAGGGAGCAGAACAGGCAGACAGACCAAAAACATTACAGAGGTAAGTAAAGGGTGAGACAGCAGAGGTCTGCCATGCCATGTGGATATCTCCCTGGCACACTGGGAATCGAACCCATGCTGCAGAGGTTGTGGACAGCTTCGCAGTGCTGTGCTCAACCCACTTAGCCACCGGGGAGGCCCTGACTATCTTTAATATCCACCAAGTTCAACTACTTAGTAGAATAACTAAAATTTCAAGATCCTTAAAGACCTGAACACTAAACAACTTTTACCTCCCCACCACCAAACTGATATCTGAAGTCTTTTGCCATGAAGTCCTACATACCATAGATACACCATTCCCTGTATTTTTTCTGGTAGTGTTCTTGAAAATGTAATGTGTAATTCCTACTCATCCAACAGGGCTTAGCTTCCTTAGTTGCTACTCACAGAGACTTGACTCAAGTTACCTACCATACAATCTTCTCCAACTCACTAAAGATAAATCCTTCTTTCCCACAGAAGTGCTATTCTCTAAGACTTTAAGTTTAAAAACAACCACAGTTTCTCATGATCTTAACACCTATTTATTTCTTTCTAAAAAGAAAGGAAAGTGAGCATGCATTATTCATGTATCCATTTACTCAATCAGTGAATATTAAATTCATGTGCTTCTATTTCCTTTTCAATAATGTCTGAGGGATTGAACAAATCCCAGCCTTCATGAAGTTTGCATTTGAGTGAGTGAATACAAGTGAAAAGCTAGCAATGGAAATATAATACTAAGTGGGTAGTGGTGAGAATTATTGAGGAAGATAAATTAGGAAAAAGTAGGAAATAAAGAATGTTGTTAGTTGGAGAAGGAGTATCAATTCTTCCCTGTAGACCAATCCTTACAAAGAATGTTTTATCATGAATTCTCTGTCATGTGTTCTAGGTCTCATTGTTATGGACAAGTGTTCTATAATCACTTATCACTTGTTTAGTAGCCCCTCTCTTATAAGACTGTAAGTCCTGTGACCTCTGTCAGAAATGTCTCATTTACCCCTATCTCACCAGTTTACCAGCCGTTAACAAATAGACAGCCTACTGCAAATTTATTTAACTATTAAGCCATGAAATTTAATTCAAAGTTCCTTTCATTATTCAAATTCTAAGACTATATAACCCATATGATACAAGTTTGTATTTTATATTGTTTTGCTCCATTTGAGCTCCCACTGTGGTGCATTGACATTTTCCTTTTCTAAATCAAATTGTGAACACCTGATGACAGAAAGCAGTTACCACTACTGTACATTTTGTTTGCCTGACAAGTTCTGTCATTGTCACTTGAAAGGCAAGTGATAGTAAAGTCTTCCTTAACACAGAAAGGATTGAAAAAGGAAAGCAGAAAGCTCACCTTCTGAAATATTTTCAGTACATGACAGCACCAAGCATATTTTGGAAGCATGTGATGAGCTTTGTGATGAATAAAGAACCTTTCAAAGTGTTTCTCCAGGATACAGTATCTATGAAGATAGAGCATAATAAGTTCAGCAAAATGTTTTTTTTTTATTTATGTGTTTATTTTATGTTATTTATGTATTATTTGTGTTTATTATGTGTTATTTATGTATTTATCTCTATCCATCTATCTATCCATTATGTATCTTGACATGTTTTTAGGGAAGAACTTATATCTGCATTAACTCATTTTCCACAAAAAGAAACAAAGAATCTGGCAAAAGGTGAACTAATGGGACAGCTTATCAGAATTGCCAGCAATGGTACAGTAGTCACGTTATGGGTCTGGCACTGGCTTACTCCTGCTCCAGAGAGCATCACATAGGAAATATTGATAAAAAAGGACATAGAGGCAATAGGTTGAGAAACTGATAATACTACTCAAAATGTTAAATGGATTTAATAGAAAACTGAATCAATCATTTGTCTTTAAATGGTGTATGGTGAAGTCTGTTCCCTGTATTAGGTTGTTTTAAGGTTTGGTATAACTCTGACTGTAAAATTCAATATTCATCCTGAAAATACACTTTTTTTTCAAATGGGAAAGAAATCTGTGTCTTCTATACAACAGATAAAATAAAATACAAAATACTTTTACAACACTCAAAATCTCTCACAAATCATTGTTGCATTGAGCTTATCTAGAGTCATTCATAGTGGCTTCACAAATGCCTGCGAGACTAAGAGACACCAACGTGGAGTCGATGAGTAAAAAGCGATGAAGTCCTTCTCCACATGGGTTCTGCAAGCAGCATCCTCTTTCCAGTTTGCAGGTGAAGAGCTGTCTGTAGAGGCTCCTGGAGAATCAGTGATCACCGCTTCCCCTCGCTTTTCTGGAGGGAGATCAAGAGACCAAGATCCTCATTCTACATGTCGCCCTGTCTACCTAATTATTTTTTTAAAGATTTATTTATTTATTTATGCAAGCACTGGATACAGTCAGAAGCACGGGAGGGTGAGAGAATTCACCAGAGCCAGAGTGGGGAACAGAACAGGCAGACTGACAAAGTACACTGCTGAGGGGAGCAGCGGGCACGGCAGAAGAGGTCTGTTGCACCATGTGGGACCCTCGCCAGTGGCCAGGGATCAAACTGGCACTGCAGAGACTGGGGACAGCTTCACAGCTCAGCGCTCAGCCACTGTGCCACCAGGGAAGGTCCCTACCTAATTCTTTGTCAGTGTTTATTCTGGCAAATTTCTCTCTCTCTCTCTCTCTCTCTCTCTCTCTCTCTCTCTCTCTCTCTCTCAATCTCTCTCTCTCAATCTCTCTTTTGCTCTCTCTCTCTCTCTTTCTCTCTCTCTCTCTCTCTCACACACACACACACAGAGGGCACATTGTGTTTGTCCTACTATCCTTGAACCAATTATAGTGAACCATTTTATAGTGAAAGTACCATGTCAGTAAATAGAGACAGTATCATAAAACACAAGATTCCATTTGCTAACGAAAGCCGAAGAGATAAATCCTAATCTGCATATTTCCAGAGCATAGATACCAGTTTCTAGCTACATTATTTCTACTTTTTTTCCCCAAACATAGATCCAAAAACTAAGAGATAACTGGAAGTTAAGGGGAGAAGAACATTTTGCATTTTGGCTTTGAGCCAGACTTCTCTTTTCCCTTTCCATAATATCTGAGGTGGGGGAGGGAGTGCTGCTATATGTAATGGCCACACTTTCAAGTGAAATTCTTCTCAAGTCAGAGAATGTCAAAACACTTGACATTCTTCTTAAGTCAGAGAATGTCAGCAAAACACTTACAACTAAAGTTGTCATTAAAATGATTTAATTCCAGCGCTTGAATATTTTTTGTTTAACTTTGATTTAGTGATGCTGACAACCTCCTCTACCACCTACCATGAATTAAATTTTCAGCTGACGGGCCTCCCTGGTGGCACAAGGGGTTAAGATACAACCTATGAAGCTATCCACAGTCACTTCAGCACAAGTTTGATCCCATGCCAGGGAGCTACCCACATGGAGCAGTAGACCTCTCCTGTCTCACCCGCTGCTCCTCTCAGTAATGCATTTCAGTCAATCTGCCTGTTCTGTTCCCCACTCTGTCTCTGGTGAATCCTCTCACCCCCACACCTCTGGCCTGTACCCCAATTCTTGTATGCATAAATAAATATTTAAAAACATTTTTTTTTAGCTGACAAGACAAATCCTTATGCTACCAGCCCCTCCATGTTTCCTGAAAATTCTGTTTAGTTTATTTGCCCTGGATGGGATCTGAGTTTGTTTCTCTTCCATACAAAACATGCATCACAGTCCCCTGCAAACCTTTTCCCTACCTTTGAATTTCCCACTCACTCACCACCTCTGCAGGTCTGGATGATGATGACCTTGGGTTTATCCTTCAGAAGAGGACAGTTGCGGGTGTTGAATATCTGGAAGATGGTGTCGTAAGGTAGCATATCCGGGTTTTCCTCACCATGCTTGGTCCCACAGATTCCTTCCAGGGCACCATGAGACATAAACACCAAGAACGTGCTGTCTGAAGACCGGTGCTCAGGGCGGACAGCAAACTGCTGCAGCACATCTTCCATACCCTGGAAAGCCCCTGAGTCTTACTGACTAGAACCAACTCTCAACGTAAACTGCCCTGCTATTTACAGGCTCAGTCTCATTCCATCTCTAGTGTCCCAGCTGAGGTGTTCCACACTGTACCTGTTCAGTGCTGAGAGTGGATTTCTTGTGCTTTATATCACGAACCAGAATTTCAACTCCCCACTCCCGCTGGCATTATGCAAACTGTACTCTTGATCTATCTTGCATTTGCTTATTGGCAAGTAGTATTTTTCCTTTCCATTTTCCTCATTTTTCCAATTATTAAATGAGACCCTTATGTCCTAAATGGAGCATCCCCCCCTCCCTTCTAAAGTCCTCCCCGCCATGCTTAGAATAAAATCAACTTTTGCTGCTCCTCCCCCTTTTGTCACACTGGGCTTCTGTGCTAGTTTAAGATGCATTTCAGGGCCTCCCCTGGTGGCGCAGTGGTTGAGCGCTGGGCTGTGAAGCTGCCTGCAGCCTCTGCAGCACCGGTTCATTCCCCGGCCACTGGCGAGGGTCCCACAAAAAAAAAAAAAAAAAAAAAAAAAATGCATTTCAGACTTTCCACTAGAGTTGCCCCTGCTTGAAATGCACTATCTGCACATCTTTCCAGAGCGGCCTTGTTGCTGACTCATGCATCAGTGCCTGTCCAGTCCACAAACAGTCTCTTATTGCCCATCTCGTCAAACGTTATTACTCCCCTTTCACAAGTTTGCTCTATGTTCTTACCCTTTTCTCTTTTACAGAGACACAGAGATATGCATGTCTGAAATTGTGTGTTTGCTTATAATTTGATTGCATTCTGCCAAGTAAACCAAGATGAGTGGGAGTTGGGTTCTTTCTGGCTCATTGATGGACCAGTTAGCACCACAGAAAAAGCGGGATCTGGCTAAACATTCATTACTCCAGAATTTTCTGAGATGTGTTGAGACTGACTCATACTCACCTCACTTTGCAATTATGAATTGTGGGTACACATGTCAGTCATATTTAGTCCTCTTATGAAATTAAGGATGTTGGGAACACAAAAGACATATAGATTTCACCTTCCAAATACATCCTATAAATACACACACACACACAAATAGCACACAGGTCCTGGCCTGAAGTCCTTATAAAACTACCTTGTGGCAGGAGGATGTGCTGAATATGTTACCTATGAGGTGGTGACTCACCTTGGCTGTGAGGTGCTCTTTCACTTCCACTGTGTAGTCAAGGCTCTCAAGCAGCTGCCGCATCCCTGTAATGTCGTGCTCTGCCCCATCCCTGGGATCAAGCTTGTCAAACTTCGTGTTGCATATGATGAGAGCCAGACGTGAGCGGCCCATTTTCTCCTTTATTGGGTAGATCTGCAGAATGGGTATGCAGTGGACTGAACTTACTTCATCTCTGTGAAACCCTCCCTCACTGATCACAATTGCTCTGTGAAGGGTTTGTGGAGCTGCCCTCTCTCACATCCAGTAGCATAAGGTCCAGCCTCTCTCCCTCTGTGTAAAGGATTGAGTAGACAACAGGAAGAAGTATGAATGGAAAGTGATTTTTGGGAGCACAGAATAGGACCTAGTGCATATCCCGGATCTTTACTTAAAAATACTAAGGAAGTTAGAAAGATCCCTACCATCTTTTTCTCCTATTTCCACCTATTCAGATATTTGTTAGCATTCTCAAGGCAGACCAAATTTTATAAAAACCAGCAACATTTGCCACTGGCACCAGCTAAAGGCAAAGTTCCTTTGCCTTTGATAATGCTATCTTTTTATACTGTTTTGAGCATATCAACATAAGAGGCTTTTTGGACAGTAATTATATTTTTAAGCATGCTTTGTGCCTAGGATTTTCCACTAGAATGTGAGTAGTTACTATTCAGCCCTACTATCTTATAAAAATATTTTGATTGATTCTATAGTTAAAAAAGTCATAAAAAAAAATTGATAACAAATAAATGCACAATGAGATATTTGCATTTTCTCATGGGGTTGAAAATACAATGGAATCTGTGTGAAGTCTCATGCTCCCTCCTTGTTTAAAGCATCTATGAAAAAGACCACACCACACCCCCCCCACCAGCAATATGTTATGTATCCATGAGTATTTAATGAAAATAATTGCTTCTCTTTATCTATTTCATGGCATAACAAATTACCTTTCCTGCCCTCTGTTCACTTTTTCTCAGGAATTCTTCATGAAGGACAAAGTTTGAGGGCACTTGTAGTTTCCACTGATTCAGGAGGTCTGGCCACAAATCTTGGACGAACTGCAGGATAGTACATAATATAAATTGCCATAGTGGCTTCTGTGACCATCAGCCCAATCAGCAGCTATGAATATTGATAGAAAAGGGAAGTTCTGGGAAGAACATTTCTTAATAAGTAGGGGTATATTTGTAACTGTATATGGTATGAGAGGACATGTACTTTGTCTAGGAAAAAGGGGATAAATGTCTGATAGAGAAAGGACATTTACCCTCAAAAAGAAAAATGTAGTATCACCAAAATGCAATCATAGATTCTGATGTTTCTAAGGACATAAACCTTGATTACACAGGGTTAAATAGAGACTGGCCATAGTTAGCAGAAAAGTTTGTTTTTTCCAGTGATTTTACTCACCCATGTGTCATGAGGAATAAAATTGAGTCACATTTTAAATTTTAAATAGTCTTATGGGATCTCCCCTGGTGGTGCAGGAGGTTGAGCACAGCAGTGCTACGAAGCTGTCTGCAGTCTCTGCAGAGCCAGTTCGATCCCGGCCAGCCAGCGAGGGTCCCACATGGTGCAACAGACCTCTTCTGCCGAGCCCGCTGCTCCCCTCAGCAATGTATTTAGTCAGTCTGTCTGTTCTGTTCCCCGCTCTGTCTCTGGTGAATCCTCTCACCCTCCCATGTATCTGGCCTGTATCCTGGTTCTTGTATAAATAAATAAATCTTTAAAAAAATAAAATAAATGGTCTTATGTCCACATTAAAAAGAAAATGAACAGATGATATTAATGTAATCATGTATTTTTCTACATAATGCAGCAAATACTGTATCTACACATGTTAATAGCCCCAATTCAAGTACTTAGTAGTCACAAGGGCTACCCAATTGTGACTCTTAATCCGCATAATACACACAGATACAAATACCGAACACTAATACTGAATCCTACACAAACCAGCAATTCTATTTTTAGCAACCTCAGCCTGAACTGTAACCTTCCCACAAGAGAAGAACTTCCCTGTGTCTTCATCCTGTGGAGCAGTCAACTATGAAAAGGAGAAATGCTGTCTAGTAACCAGAGCTTGCTACCCTGTGTGAAAAAGACACTTTCATTTCAGAGTCTCTTAACATACTCTGATGTCCTGGTCTCCAAATTGCTGAACAAACAGCCGTATTTTCAAGTCACGTTTAAAGTGTGAGGTAATAACTCCTCCCTCTTGGAAAAGTTTGCTTCTGACAAATCCTGACCTAATCACTAGAGAAATGTATGAGTATCCAGCATTGTCTGTCCTTGTCTGACTGAGGTTATGCAAGACAGCAGGAAAGCCCAGAGCCCTCCCTTGGAGGTGGAGGAGGAAGTCACAAGTAGAAATTGCTCGGAATAAATGTAACCAAGCAACAGTTTTACATGAGAAGAAACCTTTATGTTCAGTTATAATGTTATCCTATGTAAAAGTTTCTGTTTCTATAGTTATTTTCTATAATATTTTTCTACATCACTCATTTATTCTCATGCCTTTTAAAATAATGTTTTTTTAATAAGTGACTTTCTTAAAGAGATGCTAAAATCATGAATTAAAAGCTGTGCAGATATAGAAAATTTTGACTCTTTAAGATACCAACATTTCAGAAAATTTATTTTTATAGATTATATAGCGGCATGATTTCTCTTCTCAATACAGAAGATACTGCCAGCATGAAGCAATACAGGATCTTGGAACATTCAGGGTCAGGAAGTATGTGTTCCCACTGAAAGTGTCTCATTTCTTTGCAGTTTATGCAGCTTTGGTGAACTCTAAAATTTTAAAAATATTATCTCCTATGATTATATAAAGTGTTTGCAATAAAATTGGGGATTCAATAGGATTCTTCCTTAGATTTGAAAGTAAAATTAGCATGAACATGAATCCTTAAATTTCAATACAATTTATGCTTGCTGCCAGAGAGAAGGAAGAGAATCTGCACAGGCAGCATGTGCAGGCAAAGCTGAGGGAACCACTGGACAAGTCATGAGCGTGTCCACACCTCCTCCTGTCCGCCACAATTCTGCAGCCAGCTAGGATATTTCAGCTTAGTTCAATATTCGTAGTGAATCCTGGGTTTAGTAAAGCTATGAAGTTCCTACTACTTCAATTCTGATACCCATTTGCTGAATTAATTCTCACTTGGGAAAAAAAAAAAAAGTCAATTCCTCCCCACCATCTAAAGTTTAAGAGAAAAAAATAAACCTGCACAAGAACCAGTATAATATTCTTGAGAAACAGCCTAGGCTACAATTTTGAAAATGTATCAGATTAGCATGTGCATCTGCTGGTGGGTATGCTCCTTTCCATAGGAAGGACATTTGGGAAAGCTTATTTGGCATGTTGAGGTCTTCACAGTGTCTATTATCTTTTGTTTATTATTGCTTATTATTATGATAAACTCTAATTTCAGGGCTTGGATTTCAAGTCAAACTCTGTTGCACATTGAGTGTTTTATTAATGAACCTGGACAAGAGGATATTTAAGTCTAGTGATACTCTTAATTCAATCTGAGTCAAAAGTTTTGGAAGATTTTAATTGATTGGTCACTTTCTAGGTGGTCTACTGATCATATTTCATAAACCATAGAAATGAGAAAACACTGACAAGGTCTAAATACTGGGAGCTGAATGATAATTATGATAAATGATACTTATTGCAGCATGTTTTTCATTTGTCCATTCTGTGTTATTTGCCTGCAATTGGCTGCGACTCTGCTAAGAGCTATTGTGTTTGGATGAAACATACAGTTGTGCTCTGGATTGAGAAACCTAATAGAGTACATTCCCTGTACATAGAAAGGGGGTAAAAAAGTGGAATAAATGTGCTGGTGGGAATTAGTGATTTTACTGTTGTGATGCCAGGTGTAAATGCAGAATAGGCACTAGAGGTAATTGACTCTGGAGCTCAGAGAATTCTGGCTGCGATATAAAATCAAGGAAGTTAGCTGAGTGCACCTAGCCTTACAAAGTCTGGAGGAATTTATAGGAATTGCCCCATTTCCAAGATGCTCAGACTGATGCCTGGGGAACTTAAGAATGAAGTCACATGTGTCCAAGTGACAGAGGCTGGGTTCAACTTCAGGAATCCCTTACTACCATGTTGCCACAATTAGCTCTTCCTGTGTAACCTAAACAGAAGGCCTCAGTTTCTTAGCTTCTTGAACATTGGATCTCATCCCATGAAAGACAAGATGACCTCTAAAAAGAAAATGAAAGTTTTAGTAAAAATGATGCCTTCATAACAGCAGGAAGGGGGTTATAGAGGATACTGGAAGTATATTTCCTTAGAGCAAAATAGATCCTGGGAAATATGAGAAAACCATTATCTTACCTTCTGCTCCCGTGGAATTTTTGTTGATGATAAGGAAGTTCTGTAGGTGGACTTCAACTGTAAGTACACAGCTTGGAGAGCATTTTTCTATCTTCAGATATTTCTCTGGAATGTGAAACAGACTTGAAAAGACTTCTGATGAGTGTACCATCTCCCCACCATCTGCACTGTCTTATCCTACCTGCAGTGTTCCCTTTTCCATCAGATTATTATGAGGCTGTGTTTCAAGATTCATAACTGGACATTCCAAGTGACCTAAGAGTTAAGTCTCAGTGCTATCACCACTAAAGCATGATTTCAATACCTGGCCAGGGAGCTGACCCACATATGGTGCAGCAGACTTCTCCTATCTTGACTGCTGTTCCCCTCAGCAGTGTATTTCAGTCTATCCACCTGTTCTGCTCCCCACTCTGTTGATGAATATCTCACTCTCTGTCCTGAACCCCAGTTCTTCTATGCAAAAATTAAAAATTAGAAGAAAAAAAAGATTAATCATCAATTCAGATTTTTTGGTAGCTTCTGAGATCTCGGTGACTTTGGGCCTAATTCCATTGCATTCAATTTTTCTCTTTTCTTTTTCTCTTTCTCACAGTAGTGATGATGATCTACCTCTAAGGAACATTGAACATTTACATTTTTGTGTAGACTGTACATTCTTCCCCCAGACTATATGATCTTTCCTCTGTATTTAATTTTTTGGCTGAAAAGAGCTATACCTTTCAATCTACTTTTTATACTTTAAGATCTTATCTCAATCAAAATTCAGAATTGAAAATAATCTGAAAATTCAAAACTGAACATCACCTTTCTATATGGTACATTAATTTGATACCAGAATAACTTATTACTGCTTGACATAATTTCAAGTTTTATAGGTGAATATAGAAGTCAAAGTAATACTTCTATTTTAATCCCATAGATATGATTTGTAATACATAAGAAAGCAAGATGCCTCATTAAATCTAAACTCAATCTAAAATTTAGTTTTCCAGTCCATTCTAGATATAGAGATAACTTAGACAAAAAACACATTTTCTAAAGAAAATGTGACAGGACTTGAAACGAAAACTTGCCTAAGAAGCATCAGCCTTATTGTCCATGTTATCTGGAATTATTCTTTCAATAAATATTTTGAACAACTATTATGAGAAGAAACATGGAAATGATAAAACATGAACAAAAAGTGACCTTAAGTTAACTTAATGATTGTTAGTATTTCTTGTGTATTTATCATGATTAAAAACAAGTAGGTATAGGGGCCTCCCTGGTGGTGCAAGGGGTTAAGTCTCAGCACTATGAAGCTATCACCAGCCATTGCAGCATGAGTTCCAACGCCAGCCAAGCAGCTAGCCCACATAGCACAGTAGACCTCTCCTATCTGGCCCACTGCTACCTTCAGCAGTGTATTTCAGTAGATCTGCCTGTTCTACTCCCCACTCTGTCTCTGGTGAATCCTCTCACCTCCTTGTACCTCTGGCCTGTACCCCAGCTCTTGCATGCATGCATAAATAAATATTTTAAAAATAATAATTATATATAAAATTATATAAATTATCATGCCTTTATCATTTATAAATTTTTGTATTGCATACTTTACAAATATTAGTCTGCTGGACATTCACAAATATCCACTGAGATAGTTAATATTTGCCCTATTGTATAGATCATTTAAATAAAATAATCACACATGTTAGGAATCAAATTCTGTTCTCATGCCATGTTTTTATAGATAAGAACAACACAGCTTCAGTAATAATGAGCTCCCATAAGTGCCAAGTGCTTTATATTAGTTTTCAATATACTATGGAGGTAGAATATGAGTGCTTTGGTAACAGGTATGTTGGGATAACTACATCTGAAAGAGGTGACCCATACTTCCTAAATACTAACAATGCACACCAATGGTAACTCACTTAGAAATAAACTCCATATTACAGGAATATTAATATTTGCATTACAATGAAAAGGAAATAGAAAGGTGAAGTAATTGACCCAAAGTCTGTGTGTAGTATATAGTGTGTTTTAGTAAGTAGGGGAAAGGATTCATTCAGGGGTTCAGAATCCAGATCTGCCCCACTCTTTTTTTTCCCCCAAAGATTTGTTTATTTATGCATAAAAGAGCTGGGTACAGGCCGAGGTGTGGGGGGTGAGATGATTCACCAGAGACAGAGAGGGAAACAGAACAGGCAGATCGACCGAAGTACACTGCTGAGGGGAGCAGCGGGTGAGTCAGGAGAGGTCTGCTGCACCATGTGTGTTGCTCCCTTGCCAGCCTGGGATTGAACTCATGCTGCAGAGGCTGCAAACAGCTTCATAGGCTGCATCTTAACCCCTTGAGCCACAAGGGAGGCAACTGCTCCACTCTTAAATCATCAGACTTCACTACATGATATTTGATGAAGAGTCATTTAACAGAATAAAAGTGTTTTGGGCCTCCCCAGTGGCGGAGCAGTTGAGCGCTGGGCTGTGAAGCTGCCCGCAGCCTCTGCAGCACCAGTTCGATCCCCAGCCGCCGGCAAGGGTCCCACATGGCACGCAGATCTCTCCTGCTGTGCCTGCTGCTCCCCTCAGCAGTGTACTTTGTCCGTCTGCCTGTTCTGCTCCCCACTCTTGCTCTGGTGAATTCTCTCACCCTCCTGCGCTTCTGACTGTACCCAGTGCTTGTATAAATGAATAAATAAATAAATGCATACATACATAAATAGATAAGTAAATCTTTAAAAAAAAAAGAATATAAGTGTTTCAGGGACTGAGATAAGACTGGATAAATTTCTGATGGTAAGAACACAAAAGCCTTCTTAGAAAAAGTGTAGACACACTGACATAATATAGTATGCAAGTGTGAAAACATAGGGTTTCAAAAACGGTAAACAGATTGTAGATTACTGTGTGGAATATTCATTCTGCCTGAGTTTTGGGTTTCTGTGTCATTTCTTTGTGCCCTCCATATGGTGGTAGATTGTTGACTGAAAGAATGAAATGGGAAGAAATTTTTAAACAATAAAACCAAAGAGGTTTGTCTTCAGATCCTCTTCTCACCAGCTACACATTCTCTTGGTTTCAGTTATTAAAAAGTTAATCATTTACCTCCAAGTTTGTATATTCAACCCAGATACAGACAGTCAATTCAAGACTCACATCCATCTTTTTCCATATTCCATAAACTTGTTCAACTCAACCTTCTAAAATGGAACATGTTAGTTTTTATTCATCTCCTTTCCTGTAGTGGTAAGTGAAATCTAATCACCAGGTATATCAAAGTAGTACATCTGGTGAAATGAACCTCTTTTGGTCTTATATCCATCTCACTTCAAAATGCATTGATTTTTTTTTTCTTTTTGGATGAATATTTGCAGAATCTCACCATTTCTCTAATTTCTTTTAATTTTTATTTTTTATATATTTCTTACATCATTTTTCATTTTTGCACAATGTGTGCATTTTCATCTTGGTTATATTCCCCATGCAATTGCACCCCCCTTATTTTGACCCCAATATTTCCTCTTCCCACCCACCCCCCCACCCTTGTTGTGTATCTCTGGTTTAGAGTTGCTTTTTTATTTTGATTTTTTCTTTATTGTAATTATTCTTTTTCCTGGACTCTTATTTAGGTTTTCTAAACTCCTGCTATGAGTGAGACCATCTGGTATTTTTTTCTTTTTCTTTCTGGTTTATTTCGCTAAGCATGATCCCTTCCAGCTCCATCATGTTGCTGCAAATTTCTAACTACACATTACTAATGCTCTGGCCAACATCTTTGCTCTCTTAAATATTCCAAGATCCTACAAATCTATGCTTGCTTCCTTCTAATCTGTTCTTCACAATGAAGTAGATGAGTGTTGTAAAATCTAGATTTGATCATTAAATCTATCCATTTAATCCTGACCTTTTCATTTAGCCATAATTTCTGCTCCCTGGCTCATTCTATTTTACACTTTTGTCCCTTCTTTCTGTTCCCAGAAAGTCCTTATTTAGGGATCTCTCTATATACTGTCTCCACCCCACATCCCTTTCTGTAAGTCCTTGTTTGTTGCTCAAGTCTCAGGTTACTTGAACAGGCAGGGAACCCTGCCTGATACTGAAGTCTAGAGGGTCAGAAGTACATTCTCCTAGGGTCCATTGTTTCTCCTGAGAGAGAACAGTTATTAATTAAGCAGAAATGGGCAAGCCATGCTTTGTTGTTTATATGTAATAAACCACTTCACTTATTTTCAAATCTATTATCTAATGATGCTCTGTGACCATCCAGTAAGCAGTAAGGCCATCCCTTCTGGCAAAATGGTAGCTGTGATTGTGGATTAAATCTAATGCTTCCCTGTCACATGTTAAATTAGCATCAAAGAAGGAAAAAAAGAAAAGATGAATCTTTGTATTTTAGGAGTTTAAGTCAAATATACATGCTGAGAAGAATTGTGCTGCTAAGGGAAAATCACAAACAAACACAACAAGGAAGCATAAAGGAAGCAGTGAGAAAGGAAGAGACAATAAATAGTAATAAAGAGGCAAAGTAAATAGTATGAACATGTTGTTAATATCTAAAATCATGCTCTTGAGGGATTAATAGAAAAATGGATAAATATATTTTAAAAAGTAGGAAAATGTCTTAAATGATTTGATTATTTTTAGAGGTCATAAGGAATCGTGTATGTTAATTGCATTACAAATACTGATAATTTAATAGCTGAATGGTAACCAACTGATCATCTTTCCTAATAACACTAATCTGCAAAGAAACGTATGCCAGGCCAGCTGTGTAAGAATGATCTGTAGATCTCTAAAAGATTGTCAATGCCTGCAATCAAGACAGCTCAACTCAGGGAGGGAGAAGTAATCAGTATTTTTAAGAAAATGCCTACAGATGATTTGGATTTGTTGTAGGGTTTAGAAATCACTGATTTAATTGAGCCTCTTCCTTTTAAATGAGACAAAGATCAAAAAAGTGACATGATATGTTTGGCTACTGGCTGCATAAACAATGATAGCATCTCTGATACTTTTTCCATTACTGGATAGGAGACATGACCTGCAAATAGGGTGCAGGATGGATTGGA